AATTTTACCATCATTGATTTGTTTACCATTGTAGTGCGCTCCCATAACATCCTGTGCTAAAAGTGCGGTATACCGATAGGCGTACGGACGCATGTTTGATTCGTGTGTAGTTGGAACTCAGTCCATCTTTTAACCTGAGTCTAGGGTTATTTATCCACATTTGAACTAAGCTCTCTTTTAACTGATACATTCATATAACTAACACACAGAAATGAAAATGCCTCACTCCACTAACTGCCTTGTGAAAAGACTCACTCACTCACACAAATACGAGCTATTATTTTGCCTTACAAATTAGTTACAGATTGCTTCGAGTCTGCGATTCAACTTAGCGCGTTGCCTGCGTTTCTTGGTGGATCTTCCGTCCGCATCGACGACTCGCCATCGTGCCGCCGTTCGATGTTTGTTAGAGGACTTGTTGGACGACGATTGTCAGTCTGTGCGGCTAGAGGCTGCTCGTGCGCACAATGATTGGTGTCTTAAGGTTTGACTTGAGTCAACGACGATCCATTCCTCTCCAATCCTCTACAACCGCTCTTTTAAAACTCGCCAATCTTTTCCAGTTTGAATAAATTGGCGACTTTTCGTTGCCGTTGTTTGGCTTTTAGGAGCGTGCCACTCATAAAATCACCGTATTGATGTTGCACGAAATCACTTGTAAGGCTCGATGTTCCCTTCAGGCAAATCGAGGTAATCTTGAAAGGATGCCGAATCGCTACATAACATATGCATCGTTTTCGAATTAGTTCCATCAAATTCAAGGGCGTCAATAGCCTAGTCCCAGATTCTCCGTTCTCCTAATGGTGATTAGTAGGAGCATGAGAAATAGGAAAGCATGACTTGCATAGCGTTTTTATATTTACAACCTTCAATATAACAGGACAGGCCGGACAATGAAGCATCAACTATCACTCTAGTGAGGAGGTAATGGGGTGAATCGAAAAGTAGATGCCAATTGTCGTAGTGATGTGGAGACGAGTGAATAGTGACACGTCTGTAATTTGGTGTAATGTGATGCGGAGTGCGGTTTGCAGAACACAAAACAACAAGCTGATGAATAGTTATTTCACTGAAAGACTATTTTAGTTTGATCAACTTGTTGACGTCTCGGCTTTGTACACGGGGGAGAGGAGAGGGACATGGGATGAAGCGGAGGAGGAGGATGAGGCACACTACGAATCGATGCTTTTATTTAGGTGGTGCATTGTGTGTGCGATTAAGAAATCGTAAGAAAGAGTAGAAGGACGAAACGTGACGGAGGAATGGGAGAGCTGATTTCCCTCAGTCACCCTGGACCCCCACTTGTCTCACTCTCCAGGTGTGCAAAGCTTAGGCACCTAAGACAAAACGTCAAGATTGTTGTTAAGTACCGATCTTGTAGCTTCGTCTATTCTCGCTGAGGCAAAACGATCTTCCGGAAGCTAAAGTTCACCAAACAGCAAAAAATCTGCTATCGAGGCCATGTTGTTCGGCTAATTAGTCCAAGAAATGACAAGATCAACTAACTTGGGTTCGCACGGCAGAGCGGCCGGAGGTGTATTCGTCTGCACAGGTGAAGTGCACGTGAAAGGCATGTAGACATGGCAAAGCACTGGTAATAGAGGGGGATCAGGAGAGGTATTCACAGACAATTGAGCAGACGGTTCGCTTTTAAGCAGATTCGTTCACTGACTCAGTGACAGCGGCAAGAGTGGGTTGTGCAAGGGTAGTTGAGGAGGAAGAAGAGGATTCAGTGATCTCCTTTGATGCTGGCAAAGCAACATCTCCGACGGTAATGGACTTTTCTGTCAGTGGTCCGGTCTCTGCAGAGGGAACAGGAGAGGAAGCGGCCAAGTCCTCATCTTCCTCGTCCTCATCATCGTCGTCCTCGCCGCCAGTACCCCCGCCACCACTCTCCGAAACAATAAGCATTTCATACGTATCCGATGCATAGCGGTCCCAGTCTGAAATCTCCGTCAATCCTTCCTCGATGGCCTGCATAGGTGAAACAGTTGGAGAACAGTGATTCGACACAATGGATGACCCCAATCTCTTCATCTTTTACCACCTTATTGGCCTAGTAATCATTAACATGATCCGAACTTTTCACGTTGATTAACGAAGTTGAGCAATTAAAATAACTTAACCGAAAGTGACTACTTCAAAGCCGATGGAAGTTTGAAAAGCCAACGCTTATATGGCAAATATTTTGATAGTGACGGAACTTCTCCGTATTTAATGCATACGAAAAGGTTCACAGCTAATTCTGAGCTATACTTTACTGCAAGTAAGCGAATTGCAGAGAATTCACAGAGAAGTAGTCTTTTTCACCCATAAATGAGTCCATTTGATAGGATGTTAACCGAAATGGTAACAAGTTTACGCCACACTCTTTGAGCCTCGGGACGGGAAACATGCTAAAGTAGCAAAGTATGAGCGATCCTTGTCCATTAACTCAATAACTGCACTGGATTCGTCCATCAGAACAGTAGGTGCGCATTCAAGTACAAGCGCGCTAAGAGCGCCGAAGATTGATAACAAGGTTTTATATCTTCAGTGTCCATCCGCTTTGTCTTGGAGGAGTCCGAGTGATGAGATTTCACGAATGGACAAAATACTGCTTATCGTAGTGGTATGACATCGGTCTAACGGAAAGCTAAGATACATACATTTCTTTCCATTCCTACAAATTGCATGGTAAAAATGATGTGCCAATGCGATCTGACTGTCGTTAGATTTGTCGTGGTACATTAAAACGGTCTTCATTCAAAAGCTGTGATAATGCTCCGAATTTGATCTTTGATTCGTGTTTGTTCAAACAAAATCACAGCCAGAATGTGAAGCAGGCGTAAGCCAGATCGTACCTGAAGGTTGGAGAAGGGATCCCGCTGCTCGTGTTGGAGGTACTTGGGAAGGTTAAAGAAGGTGTCGAAAAAGACGGGACAGAGGTTGCACTTTTTGAGATCAGAGAGACGAATCTTATCAGGGAGGACGGGTCGAACCATATCAAGGCACTGACACAGGCAGTCTTCTAGGGTCGGTGGCTCAATGCCCATCTCTTCCATTCGTGCTGACTGCTCCGAATAGAAGTATTCCAGCTCGTATAGCGAGAGCACCCCGTCTCCATCCAAATCCATGCACCGGAACCAATATTCAATGCTGTTACAGGAGGGTGAAAAAGTAGCAGCTGTTAAAGCGACCTCTGTTTCCATTTTAATACAACTTTTGTGAGTTTGTCCAATAATGTTTGGGAGAGCTTTCAAAGGCATTTTGATGTGCAACAGAAAAAGTTAAACAAAAACCTGGTCTCACAATGACTAACTGTGAGTAAAATCGTGAAACAAATGAAAGTATTCGCAACGGGAGCTAGTTTTTTACTTGTAGAAGAATAAATTGTGTTTTTAAAGGGCTTTTCACATGAAAACATCATCAAGGTACGTTCTTGTAACAGAGTCCGTCATAAAACAAATCGTTATTAAGGTAAATCATCACGATGTGGTAGCTGCAGCAGCTACTTTCCGTCTCTAAGTTGAACCGACATCTGTTGGGCATTGGAAGAAGTCGTGCCGATATCAAAAGGATGAGAAGAGTCAGATATTTACTATGAGACGAATTGTAAAAAGGTGCAACAAAGGCCCATCAACATTTGTAGTTGAAGCATCCGCGAAAAACGGGAGGTATAAGAGAGGGCGAAAGAAAAAGAGATGAAAAATGGATGACTCTACTGAAGGAGGAGTTTGTGTGTGCATAAATTGAGTAGCAGCAGTTATAAAATCCAAAAATATGGAAGCAATAATAATAATTTATGGTATTAGTAAGTATCTGCGTTGATTTGAGTAGGAGGAAAGCCTATTGGCCTCAGTATTCCCAAATGCTTCAATGGAGATGGAGTTGGTTGATAGGCGACATAGACCGACTAAATGAGCTACTGATTTGGCTACAGTATGCGTCAAAATATAGTTTAAAGAAGGTTTAAGTGCCCTCGCAGCTCACTCACACCTAAGTTCCATCTTTAAATACGGACCAATGCATTAACTAACGTCACGAATGACCGCGTACAATGTTGGTGCCATACTCATGAATGTTATTGGCCAAAAGTGAATTCAAGGCAAATCTACAGCATCAACATAGGTCTCAACCAATTTAATAAACAGTACCACTCCCCAAATGGAGTCGGTCTAATAGTCCTATACGTCGGCATGGACTGGATGGTTGAAATTTTTGGTAAAAAGTAAGACCTAACTTTCCGTGGGAAAGACTTAATCAGAATCCAAAAAGCATGGATGCGTGTAGTTTTCGTGAAGGAACGGACCATGCGACATATCATGTCAACTTTTTGCTAGTCTAAGCTTGTTTTCCTTTTTAGTGTTCATCCTTGCGAATGGGAAAATGTAGGATAAATGGAGAAGAGGAAAAAAAGCCTGCCATAGAGGCATGGAGTGGACTCACCTCCGTGGGTGCCGTTTATCCTCTTCTGCCAGAAGGAACCACACAAAGTCCGAGTAAGTCATTGTACCCTCCTTGAATGAAGTTCCGCTAGCAGCACACAAGAGTAGCAAACATTTAGACCGTTATTCGTATTACATGCAGCGATTCAGTTGTCTTTTGTCGAGGAATCAAATGAATGCTTATCCACTCTCTTCAAAAATTAACTTTTAAATCCAACTAATGCGTCATTCTTTTTTCGTTTATGTCAGGCATATGCCAGTATAACCATTCAATGTCTACACTTTAGGCATTATACAAAGTTGCTATCTATCAATGCTCAAGGAGGATTTGTCGTAGTGTAAACTAAATATTACCAGAGCAGTAAATGAGACCTCACCGTGTAACAGCACCGCTAAATATGCGATCAATCATCCGCTCTGAGATAGCTGCAAGGGGAAAATGCTTGCGTTAGTGGTCAATTCAAGATTAGCTTTGTTCTCACAATGGAAATTTTCTGGGTCAGTAACAGGGATCAAGTATTCAAGGTTTGCGCTGGAATTGACACTAACGTAAAGCACAAAATTTTCAGACTAAAATATAGAGGGTATGCTGAGGGATACCTACCATAGTTATTGTGCCTAGCGAGATCAGCCTTGCTGATGATGAGATCGTGATTGGTGTCGAGTTCCCAAAACTTGCAGTAGATTACATAGAAGTGTTCATAGGAGAAGTACTGAGTGACCAGGTTGATATCCTCTTCTCTCTCGAGACTGGCAAGCACTTCAAGAAAGTTGGAGCGCCGCAGCTCGCCTAGACTGATGCGGCCTGACCAGGAGGTATTGGTGCAGAAGAAGATACGCGATACTACCGTCGTCACATAACGTGCGTGAAACTCTGGTGCTGCTTGTAAAAACGTCAAGCTGGGATGCGTGTCTACCACGTCCTATGGAACAAACCGTCTCATATAACATCACTTTCACATCCAACAAACCCGTGATGTCTATATTCAAAGCTATCAAGTAATGTAGCGTTTGAGTGCTGATCTCCATTTTTACCATCATACGTCAAGTTTAAAGTAGCACAGTAAATATTGTTACGATTAGCAGGTGGAACCTCGCACAATGCATGAGACATGTGAGGAGATGTGTGCTGAAGTACAAGGTCAACTGGTCACAGAAGCATGCCCCTTAAAAGCCCATGATATGTTTGCTCATTTGGACAAAACACAATTCAAACAATTACGCCCTATTTCTAACAATGAATAGGTATTAAGCATAACAAAATTATGGTAATGTGAAGAAATCCTTAAAATGACCAAAGTTCAAAGTTTGAACCACAATTAGTTGTCGAATGAAGTGAAGAGGTTCTGTGGATGTGTTGTTTGCTAAATCGAAGTTCACCTTCCCATCAAGGAGCTTTTTACAATGAAGTGGACTTCTGTCACCAAAAGATCATCCAAGGTTAAATTAATTTACTGCGGGACAGACACCAGAATGGCTCTGATAAACCCTGCGTATCCTTGTCCTTACAACTACAACGTTTAATTATTAGGACGTCTGGACAATGATGGTGAGAGTGAGGCAAAATCACTTGGTTCTGTGAAATACGTCAAATGTAGAACGTTGGTAGAAATAACACAAAACCTTGTTAGGGGAAACGTAGACTTTCAGAATAAATTTATATCCGACCGGTCCTGCAAAATTTCACTGTACATCTTCAGGGCAATCGCAATTAAATGTATGTCAGTACACCTTAAGGTATGATAAACGTGGCTGCTTCTCAAAATACAGACAGTTCAGACATGAAAGACCCGTTAATTTTTTTTTGATTTCACAGTTGAGCAAACGGTTGTTATGCTTGTGCCGCAGATTCTAATGCAGTGGTGCCCGAAGTAGCGGACCGAGGTTTTGACAAGCAGTTGTACGATGGTGTCAGCCTATCCAAAAGTCGTGCCAGTCTTTCCCCTTTTGTATGTACACGGAAGGACTACATTAACTGAACAGCTAATAACTTCTTAAAACCGTGTTTATCCATTCACAGTAGCACATTCCAATAAAAATCATCACTTAAAGACTTTTGTTGCAAACGGCAATAGAAGGAAGCTTAAGCAGTTAGGTGTAGATCAAAAGAATTGGCTCTTTAGTGTGGTGGATTGTTTTGCGAAGTGATGTACACCAGAAATTGCATCAGACTTGCGGTTCGCCTCTGAGATTTAAGATTTGCGCTACAACTAGAATGTGTTTAAAGCATTCTAAAAGCAGCTGAAAATTTTCATTGAATTCAAATGGTTAATGAATAAGGGGAACGTTTGCAAAACAATGCCCGTAGACTGTATGAATTACAACATCAATGGTTTCATTAAATATACCAAGACTTTTGCTTTGCACTTGTTGTGCTACTATTCGAAAGAAAGAGCAATGGAAATGGTAGTTGCAATATGCAGTGTGTGAAGCTTTCAGCCTGTGCCAATGAAAGCAGAGGGCAGTTTTGTGCAGTTTCGTCCTGTGCTTGGGAACGAAGGACATCATTGGCATTTACAGTCGATAGCGGTGTGCATCGTCCAAACGCCCACCGTTTCCAGGTTGTCGACTTCCATTATGCGTATAAATAGGCAAAACAATATTTCCTTAACAGATAGGGGTTCAAACCGGAAGTTTGTGAACAAGGTAACAATAAAATATTTCACAGACTATTTACAACGTATTCGCAACATCCATTGAAGGATAAGTATACGGTACACAAGAAGGGAGAAAAACCATTATAGGCGGCGATGCTCCAACTGAAGTGATTTCTAGTCAATCTTTCCAACTTATTTCCTACCCTCGGAGGCCTCGATATGCCTAGAAAGCATGCGCATAAACATGAGTGGGTCTAGCAACTACTTTGCGCAAGGCAACACCAACGGATCCAGGGTGAGGGGAGGAGAGGAAAAGGAAATGTAGTTACCACCATAACGAATCAATGACGCACATGACTGGGCAGAACTGCGACACGCACACAACGCAGCACAGCACAGCACGGCGCACAACGATGTGGCATGGTAGGGAAGGCTAATATACGCGAGATTATGCAGCTACTTTAGGGGGAGAGCGAAAATGTTCACTCTCACTCAGCTACAAATAAGGCTGTGCAGGGGGCAGTGACACTTGAAAGGTACGATTTAATGCATAGACAAGTACGGGTTGCAAGAGAAAGCAATCACACTGGCAACACCTCTAGAGCCTGTGACTAAGACCAATTCCGCGTATTTGTGCACGCAATAGACCAGAAATGGATACCATCATCTGATTTCAGCAGCCGCAGTTTGGCTACCTTTGAGACATCTTTTCAAAGAACTTTTAGCTATTAGTACGGAGACCACTTATAACAGGTGATAGAGATGGCGAAGTGTTGAGTCAAAGAAAAGCATTCAAATAAGATAACTCACTTGAATTATCGGCCAGAAGTCATCGGGCATGAGATGCTGAGATTTGCCTTTAGTCAGCAGGTAAATGAACTGAGATGCAGCATCCGAACAAGAGGCTAAGACCCTGAACATGCGGGAACAACACCGAAAAAGGCGTTAGTTTTGTAATGTCCACTACAAAGTTGGCACAAGATGCTCAAAAAAGATGTATCTGCACTTTTTAGTGGCTATTGCGCATTTCTGTGGATTATAGTAACACTTTACCAAAAAAAGAATCTAGAATAGGTATTTGGAAAAAATGGAGCATTCAATTAAAATGGAAGTCAAGTCAAAATACCGATGGTCAACAATGGTTGGCTGATTGTTTCCTATGGCAACACAAAGAGAATTCGAAGTAAGGCCAAATGAGAGCGACTCACCGACGCCAAAATGAGAGAATCGCAGCAACGGGGACGGCAGTGCTGTCGTTCTCGCTACCAGCGGCTTTAAAAAGTGCTCGTTTCCAGTAGAGAGGGCAGCCGCATGCCTGAGTGCGGAAAAAAGTGACAAAACTGGTAACCACCAGAATGCAAGAGGCATAATCATGCGCCTCAAGGAACTTGTTGCCTACTACGTCACAACCTTTCAAAAATCGGAGTGAAGGATTGGCTCTTACAAATGAACTTATTTAGCCTGTGTCGTTGACGAACAAATTGGATTACAGACAGTCTCCCAATGACCTAACTCGATTTCCTCCAGTCAAGCGACTTTTTGTTAGTTTTGTTTGCCCTTGATAGGCAATTGTAGGGACACCTTTAAAAAAATTGAAGAGTGAAAACTCTAGGGAAGAGATTTTCGACCTTAATGCAATAAGCAGAACTGGCAACTGGAGCGTGTGCATAGTCTGCCAATAGAGAGGAGAGTGGCGAAGACTGCTGACCCTGGCATGCTTTTGCACTCGTGAGGGGATCTGTTTACGACTGCCTTTCAAAGACGTCACAACGACGAATCGATCTCCAAGCCTGAGAAAATTTGGCACAAGGGCACGCGCACATGCACAGCCCTCCAGATGTCGATGCGTACGTGTATGGGTGGGCATGCGTGCATGTGTATGCACTGTGTGCACACACAGAAAGATGTAGTGCCCTCTTCTTCTGCAAGCAGATAGCACATAAATCTATTCTTTGGCACTGAGTCCTGTGGTAAGAACATGGAGAACGCACCAGAACAGTGGCTTTGTTCTGCGTTTAGAATGAGTTTCTATTACTGTTTCTCTTGGGTAAAAAAAACCTTTGTCTACAACTTGACATAGTTGAGGGTCAATAATATATGCTCAGAGTTCGTTGAATCTAAAATGCGAAATGTGAACAATCACAGACATGTACAAACCAAAGCGCATGTCTAGAATGTGTAGCATACAAGAAAATTGCTTTGCATAGAATGGGATAAATCACCCACCTTAGTAACAAGGTCAAAACGACTAAAGGGGATGAGAGAGTCGACAGTGACCTTGGTGGACTGTGTGTGTTCCTCATTCTCCCCATCCACAACGACTGTTGTTACTGATTTCATCTCCAAATTTTTGTTGTTGGTCTCCTCAGCTTCATTGCTCCTCTTTTGAACAGGAACAGATGCCGCTAATCCCTCGAGAATACAAACCTTCACTTTTTCCATAGCAGAGTCCAATTCCGTAGAAGAGAGAATAGAGGTTCCCGGAGGGATATAGAACTGTGGTACCCGCTTGCTCGCTTGCAGAGGCTTCGGCACTGCCCCTGTGACACCACTAGGGGTTTGATTGGGTACCGTCTTGGATACTTCCGCCATTGTCTCCAACAATTCAGTTTTCCTCTTCTCTTCCTCCTCCCCTTTCTCTTCTTTGAGAACAGAGTCCTTGCCTTTTTCGTCCTTAAAGGGCCGAGAAATCTTGGAAACTGATGAGGAGATTGTGGATGTCTCGTCCTTGGAAAGAACCGCCTCCTTCGGTGTGGTATCCTTCTCAGCATCTTTGATGAGGGCGACTGATGGAGAGGGGGTGATGGTGGTTGTTGGAACTGTGGAGTTAACTGCAGGACCACCATTCGTGCGTTCTGTTTTGTCACCAGGAATAACTGTGGGCGTCTAAAGTAAAGCAAGTCACAAAAAGTAATTTCTGACATCCGAAAAACCATGACAATTACACGTACGTGTTGATGGGAGCCAAAAAATGAATAAACTTTTCATTTTAAGCCGTCGTCAGAGTCACTTAAACAAGATGATGCGAAGGCTGAAAATTTTCCTTCATAATTCACTTTGGTTAAGGGTGCGAAAATGTGTTCAGTACAAATGTTGACAACAAGTAAAATGCAGCAACCGATTTATGAACACCGACTCTGAAAAAGCCAAGACACTGACCAAAAATACACCGGGCTCAATCATCTCCTCGACAAACTTCACCGATCAGGTAATATTTCCCGATCTTGAAGAAACAATAAAGTTGAATTTAACGCCATAAAGAAAAGCTATGATTATTATTCTACATATTATTCCACTATATGTCTCCCTGAGCACATCAAGAGGGCTTTTAGAACTGATACTCACCTATCCAAAATTAATGGCCTCATTTTGCAACTACAATAAGGTCGAATCTGGCCGACTTGGCCGTTTAGCCATCCCCATCCCTTGTACATGCATGAAGCAACCTTTTTTGATAACATAAGCGGTGTAGAGGAATCAAGTACATTGCCATCGAAACTACCAAATATGCATGGACTAAAGCTTCAATCAGGCGTACTCACCGATGCCGAGGCACACAACTACTGGAGATGGCAGGCGACAAGAGCCGCATTGGAAAACCACACAGCCACTAAACCACACATCCAATAACGCCGACATTGAAGTTGCATATATTCAGAAATACAAGAATTTATGCCTGGGTTAAGTGTGACAGCACATGCACCCAGTGGCCCATCTGGCACAACAGGTAGAACTTTATTTAAAACATTGGGGCGCCATCCACTCCACCGGAAAAGGTGCAAATGTGACTCAAAGCAAATACATCACATGCGTGATCGCTACATCACACGACTACCTATGTTAAAAGGTTGGATGGGATTATTGCTAAAGGATTGTACAATTAATGCTTCTTCACGGTAAATTTGAAAGAATTGACGCCAAGTTAGCAAATACTATCACGCCTCTTTGGAAACATGGAAGTGACCCTCAAACAAGTGAATTTGTGTATGGTGAGGTGAACAAGCCGTCTGTTTGTCAATTCATAAGAGGCTAAATGCGATAGACGATGGGACTTTGGTACTGTAGTTGAAAAAAAACCCGTCAATGGGGATGGTTTCAAGAGCCCAATTTACTTCGTGCTGTTGCTGATTTCTGTACAATGTGGAACAGACAAGGACAGGGTAATTAAAGGACAGGTGGAAATTTTCACTTTCTATCTTAAAGGTCGTGCACTAACAGCCACGCTAGCGCGCAAGACTGTGTCCTTCAAGCAAAGACTAACACATTAAGGTCACAAAACTACAAAAAGTTAACCATTTAAGACGCAGTGGACAGCCTTAAAGAGCTAAAACTACAATTCTAAAGTTTGAAGAGGCAAGTAAGTTGTTTTTTTACTAGTATTTAAATGGTTCGATCTTGTTGATAGTCGATACGAATATAATTGTCCACTCCTGTTTTATCAGTGGGATAACCTGTTTGTTGTAGCTGTGTTACATTTCCTCAATGAACCACTAAAAATGCTCGGATGAAAAGCAGAATCCCTGAATGAGGTGAAAAAGTCAAGCATTGCTTGGCGTTTATGATCAACAATTCGAGACCGAAAATAGAGAACTAAATAAAAATAATTTGCGCGGATACAAAAAAGGATAAAGTGATATTCGGCCTCAATCACTCCTCTGCGAGTTCAGAGAACAGCAATTGTTTTGCCATCCAGTAACCTCCTATTTATGGTTTACTAAACTTACACCCAACAGCAGGGACAGTTAATATACCAAAAAAAAATTGTGCGTAGGTGTGCTTTACTCATGTAGAATTACTAGAAGTCCAAAAAGCGAGTGTGACACACCAAATTCCACCTCATCACTAGTTTTGGGAATGAGCCACAAGAACACTTCAAATGGTTGGCAAGCTTAAATATGAATGAAGCGGAGCGTTTTGATCGAAATTCACAGACCACCGAAACATGAGCAACGCCAATAACCGCCCAAGTCTTGAATCGAAGGCAACAGAAAAGGCGTCCAACAAGCAGGCAACATTTCATGCATGTTAGAGGAAGACCAAATTGACCTAGAAACCAGATCTCCTATTCTAACCTGGCAACTCACTTTTTCTGTCTCTTTAGGCACAGATTCTTTTGCCGGCTTAACCATTATAGTTTCCGCCTTTTCTGATGGTGGTGAGATTTTCGGTCGGGAAATCGAAACATCATCCACTTCTTCTCGTATAGGAGTCTTGGATGTAGAAATCGTCTCATTAGTCAATTCTGCAACCCTCGAGGATGGCGTGAGCTCCTTATTATCTGAGAGCTTTGGAAGTGGGGTGGTTTTCTGTTGCTTGGACAATGTTGCATTGTTAACAGTAGAACTGCTATCATCGAGCAGAGCAGATTGAACAGCAATAGGGACGCTAGGCGAGAAGGAGGCCTTGCTGTGAACAGTGGTTGGGAGAGGCAAGTCAGGTAGCACCCAGGGTTCAATTAGAGGCGGGGGAGGGATCGAAACATCTGAGGTCTTCGATGAGTCCAGAGACTTCTGCGGCACCCTTGACACTAACCCACTACCTACTGCAGAAGAAATGCTGGAAACAGAACCCCAAACGTCTGTGTAGACCTCCTGAGCGGGAAGACATTTGCCCATGTGAACTCCGGCAGGGCAAAATCGTGAGGTAGTTCCCTCCACGTTGGATTGAGTAGCGATGGCTGCTGTAGCAGCGCTAGGTGTCATAGCTGCCCGAGGACATCGCTGGCAAGCATGAACTGTAGCCTGCCAGGATAAGTCAACTGAACAGGCGTGAAAAACAGGCGCCCGTGAGGCCATGACAAAACTCTGAACTCCATAACACACTGGCATTTTGTGATTCCGTGCTCCAATGGATTGATGACTGTTGTGCACACTGCCAAGATAGTTATTGTTGGGGGTGATAGAGGAGTTGTGTTGGTTTGCCTTCACTTTTAGGGAAGGGATGTAGTCCGACTCGGTAGGTAGGATAGAAGAGACGCCGCTGGAGGAGGAACTTGAGAGACCGGTTGCAACATTTCCACCGCCCCACCTTGTGCCGTATGGCGTGGCCCCGTCAATGAATACACGGGGATAAGATGCCAGGTTTGCTAACACTTAATTGGTACAGTTGATTGCAGGTGCGTTAAAGAAGTCGATTGGGGAATAACAGTGCTGCAATAGAGGCTGCAAGTGGGCGTAGGCCAAGCGCGCATATACACGAACACTCGTATGCGTCCTATACGTTGTCGTTCTTGCTTTTATTGTAGCGATGTTGGTGGTGGCTATGGCAGTTGTGTCCAATTTACCTGAGCGTGCGTATAGATTCCCGTTTGCGTGGGTAACTACTGGAAGAAATTATAATTGTCACTCGCCTCCACTCATTCGCGTTCTCTGCCTATCTTGCTGCTGCTTACGTGTAGTACGCATGCAAGCGACTGCGCATTTGCGCGTAGAAGCACCACACGGATGGCAGTAGGGGTGGTACAATTGCTGCACACGTGCGTCTCCACTCAGGCATGCCATTGGTCAGAAGGCAAGCGCACACACAGACAGCCCCGAAGTTTACAGCCAAGGTGGCAGCGACGCAACGGCAGCACCAACTATCGATCGTTCAGCGCACACCTGAACGCGATTGGCTTGTACGACGGAGGCGGTCTGGTTGGAGCCGTGCGCGTGGATGCGCGTATGCTGATCTCGAGACAGATGAGTTAGCTCCGAAAAGGCACAAACAACAGCGAATTTTTGGGCGGATGCCAATATGCACATAACCTCAGTACACAACTGAGAGCGCATCGAGTTCTCACATGCTTGTTTCTAGGACCCACTCCCTAATGCGTCTGCTTTAATCAAGTGGGATAATTTTGCCTCATGACATCGTTCGCGATAGTAGTAGTAGTGATTTTTGTGAAGTAGCTCATCCTCAAATTGCACTTCTACTGTTTCAAAAGGATCGCGAAACAAATTAGTAGAAGTGCCAAATCGAAGTAAATTTGGACTAGTAGGGATTGCTTAATGATGGATTGTGGGTAGAGCCTGAATACATAAGAACTCAATAGGGTTTTGTGTCCGGGCACTAAATCCATGGTAGTTGCTGGGCCCCAAACTTACGTAAACCAAATTGTTGGGTGTTTTGCTCTGAAAAATAGTTGACCAAAGCATTTCTGCAAGCAAATCAAGTAGGAAAATTCGCTTAAGTAAGGACAGATTGTGAACACTAATAAATCGCAACAACATAAATATAGCGCTGAGGGTACTTCAGTTCGGCACTCTACATTCTCCACCAATAGGGATACTATCTTCATGAATTTGTCCTGCTGGCGAATAAGAGCCTCATTCTATCACAGTTGAGTAACTAAACCAATTGAGCATTTCTATCGTTTTGCTTATATTATAAAGAAATAAGTTTAATTTAGTGCACCGCACTTTTCAGTTTTAAGACTAAATGTTTATAAACATGATATGAAAATGGGAGTATTTTTTCAATGTAAGGAGAAAAAAATACCACCTTTCTTCTAGAGGAGGATTAAGATTGGGCCTTAGCGATGCCACTTCACCTCGACTGTCTCCCACTCTGGCGATTGTACGTACAACTTCTACTTAAATCGAGTAGTAGACGTGTCGTCACATGGCATTGTAGCCAAGATAAATGGTCGTTAATAGCGTTTGCTCTTGATTTCACATTCATAATTACATAGGCAACTTATTTCTTAGGCTTTAAGAAATAGGAGAGAAAAGGATGAAATCCCTCTATGAACAGGATCATAACAACGAAGATACTTTCTTAGTCGGAAAATAAAATTAATAGAAAGGAACAGATCCTTCTAGATATAAAAAACAACACTGTTGCTCTTGGAAATTGTCACTGAAATTTAGTGAGTATATTGAGTAGACTTGTTTCACGACTAACACTCCGAGGTACGATTATGTGCACACTAGTAGTAGTAAACATCCAAAGCTGGACGCTCTTTGCAAGCATGATTACTGAAGTGCGTACGTGTGTGCGTGCATGCATGCACATCTGTGGTTAATTGGTCACGCATGAGAGGGCGGTGCCATGGTGGCTAATTTAGTGCTTTAATGCGCGCGCTAACGAGAGGCATGATCATGTAGATCTATGAGACATCGAGTCATCGCTATTTCAGCAACCAACTTAATTGGAGAGGTCATCAGACAATACTCAGGGCACTTACGTTGAAGTGCTTTAGCTGAACAGGACTGGGTGTTGAATCTCATGACCGTTTCATCGCTGATAGGATGTAAATGATGGAGCTGTGAGCTTCAAAAGTATTTAAGTTGATTGAGAAATGACAAGACTCTAAGGCATTACGGGCTGGAAGAATGAGCAAAAGTTTCAGTGCCAATTTAACGACCATTGAACGGGGTATACAAAGTGAAAAGTGCTCTAGACATAAAAGCACCCAGCCAAAAACTGATCAAGGCGTCGAAAGTTTCGAATGTTGAGAGCTGATAGAAATTATAAGAGGACAATTATCAGAGATTTGATACTAGAAAGTTTAGTTCTGGAGTCAAAAAGGGGGCGAAAGCCAGAGTAGAGTTTAGTTATCGCAACAAAAAACAGTCTGGTAACAAATTTGACAGTCAAAATCCTCGCCAAAAATTTGATCCATTATGAGACGAGAAAAATAAGCAGTGAATGAGAAAATGAGTAAGCTTAAGGGTAAGCGGAACAGGAACGCTCTCATTGGCATAGTAAAAAGTGAATAAAACTGTAAAACGATATAGGCGTGTCTTCAAAATTACATGCTGACTGCATTGGCAACTTAAAACTGTTGTTATTGTGTTCGAACCTTTTCTGCTGGCTATTGAATGCATAAGTTACGTACATGAATATGCGTAGACGGAGTGCTAAATATTCCACAAACATGAAACGGAAAAAGAGTCGATGTGGGCACATCCAACAAACTGTCATCTCTATGGCATTCCTTATGGTCAATCGGCTACGAAGTTGTAATAGGATCGTTAAAACGAATGGCCAGTGGCATGTCAGCCCTCGCACATGACAGCATTTTTGGAGTAAGGTGAAGGAAGACGAGACAAAACGACAACTAAGTTTGCCCAAAGTTAGGAAATAGTTCCCAAAATGGTAAGATTTACCGAAAAATAGGAATTGAATGGCTACTTTCGCACAAATAACCTCTGAATAGACAAGCATAAAATACGCAGCTTTTAATTTTATCTGCTGGAAGAATAGAAACGTGATGCCATTAAAGAGCGATCAGGTGCCAGTCATTCTGAGTTATAATAGAAAAAGCAGATGCTGGAATCATAAATCTGTATGACCTGGCGGAAAGTAATTGATCATCGTAATATTTTACAGTGTTAAGAAATTTAATCTAAAAGCGACAGTAAGACAAACGCCTTGCAAAGGCAGTCTGCTGAGTGCTAAAGCTTCTGACTCAGGAACCAACATAGGACGTCTGATTTGGAACGAATTCGGGTAGACAAGCGATGCGCATATTTCAACAAAGCAATAAATCCAAACCACAAGAGATGGTGGAACCTCCGTCCGGTAGAGTTAACACGTTCAACAGCCACGATGCGTCGTGCACACGTGTGATCGGAATATGTCCAGGATACGAGCCATGCGCCACCACATGGCATGGTTTACCGCGAACACTCGATCATGCGGCAACGTGTCCAAATGCAGATGCCCAAGGCTGATCTCCCTCTTCTTCGACCGACCAGCAAATAATACTACCTAGTTAATATTTAAATCCACTCTTACTGATTGTTCCTTCGGGGATGTCTAATCGATCGAGTCAAATGGCAGAACGGCGCCTTAGAATGGTTTAAATCAGTACACTTTAGCAGTACTTGTAAACCGTGAGGAGAGGAAGTAGACAAAGGTCAGAAAGAAGGCATTCATTTTGATGAGGGAATATTAAGTTTAGCATTAAATGAAAACAGTTGTGAGAGTGGGAAGTTCAGGGAATAAGTGAAACATTATAAGGATGCCATAAAATAGTTTAATGACGGAGGAGGAAGGACTCACGAGAAGACTGGCATAGGTAGCAAGGGTGCAGATTCCACCAACGTTCATTCGCGTCAAGAGTGAAGAAGGCCTAAAGCGCGTGCCTTCGAACAAACAAACACTACGCCCTTCACGTCCGGTGTAACTTTCATTCCTTTCTCATCTCTCTACGCCTATGCATGTATACGTGCACATGCGAGTCTGCATCCGAACAGGCATTGGATGATGCACCTAGCGGCAGGTGAAGACAGCACTAATCAATCAGATTGGCCGAATGACCTAATGAACCCACAAATCGTTGGATCGGCATCAACTTGGGTTCTCAATTTACTGTTATTATTAAGCAAATTGATTTGGCACTCGACACGCAAAGTTACAGCTACCTCGGTTTCCGCTCAATGACGAAATTTCTCCTTTGAATTCAACTTACAAACATTTTCTGTCAGTAGGTCGCTAAATTAAATAATGATGAGGAAGATTCCTTCTTCAAATATTAGAATTAATGAACCCCAAAATCATGTGCCATAGAGTTCCAGAGCTTAAGTATACATTCTGGAGCATAACATCCACTCAACCTAAAAATGACTTGGTTTGGAAATGGCTCTAGGATCAAGGAGGGGTGTGATCCTCTTACTTGGCAGTACAAACCAAGTGAGCGGCTATAATTGAGTCTTAGAAGTTTTGTCACTCAAGGACCATAAGGTAGTTCGCCTTTTTTAAAAAAGGCATGACATTTATTCACTTCATGCCATTTCCCGCTAATAATGACTGCATTTATGATGCTCCATTAACACTCACTCCCCTTAGCATTGAAAATTCATCAAATTTTAGAGGCAATAAGAGTAATTATTGTGACCATCGTAAAACAACAAATTTTGCAGCGTCACTGAAAATCTAGGTCATAAGGTCTAAACAAGAGTTTGAACATTTGATCGGATACGCTAGTTTCTAGGTAATGAAGTCACATGTTGATTTTTTTTTTCGTACACAGAATCCACACTGTGGCAAACTGGATTCGGTGAATTGTAATTGTTTCTTGGGTGAGTTGTAGGGCTTAGGAACACGCAGGCACACACGCACGCAAGTACCGTTGATGAGACTAGCATAACCAAACACGCCACTGCGCCATGCGGCAGCCTACGTTTTCCGTCTGGTTGAATATGCAACTGCCACGCATGGTGGAAAAAAATCGGAGTAGGCGGCAAAGCCACATAGCGCGATGCTGGGTGCTTTGAAGCGTGACAATACAATTTCTCTTGTATTCTGGCATTAAACCTTGGTTAACGAAACTATTCTCTGCTAAGAGGCCATTTTGGCGATTCCTTTTGCAATTACAGCATTCATACTGCAATTTTTAAATTTAATGCATGCGATTGTCAGTTTACAAATGCCAAGCCCAGAGATGCGAACGATGAGTCATTTATATAGTGGGCATAGAAAAGAGACGAACACGGCTTTCCTCACCACTGTGACCGCAAGTTTGCAAATTAGTCTTCCACTTATTAGGCCTCAATTACACTTGGTTACTTTGTTAGACAGTACCTTATGACAACCAACGGAAGCATACACGATTAGCATGAGCATTACAATATTGTCCTGTCTAGATAGAATGGATTATTATGTCACTAGAATCACAGGTATCCGATATTCGTTCAAAGTAAAGTCTACTGTCTTAACTCTTACGGACACAACGTATCAGGCAGACATTGTAAATATTGTACATAGCGACAATACATCAGCTTCTCTTTGTAGTTATAATTATCGAACTTGTTGCAAAAAATACTTCGTCAGAGCTAAAAAAGACAACTAGGAATAGATGAACTTGGCGCAGAGATCTTCCGGAGTTAGTAACAATCTAGCATGCTAGGCAACGGTTAAAAGTCCGTAAAAGCACTAATTCTTATAGCTATTAATTTACTCACAACCTACACTAGCACCAGTTACTAGGGCATAGGTCAGGAATTCCGAAGAATCCCCCATGGCCAACCGTGCCAGTCGAACTTGATCAAAATTAGAGATCGATCGTCCTGTAAATCTGTTAAAATTCGTGACCTATTACAACACTATCCAATTACGATTCTAGGTTAAGTTATAAGGCTTGACTTTCAAGGTATGAACCGGGACATCGTCCATTAATGCATTGGCGTCTATCCTTCAAGTGAAAAATAAAAGTTTCCCTTTTCTAAAAATGAATCTCTTTGCAATATTGAATGCAAGTGAAACACATCACTCTCAACTAGAAAGAGGTACATTTTAAGGAGGTGCAAATCCCTGTACACCAATTGGCGCAGCGAACCGACCAATTCACGAAAAAGAAATATCGCATAAGTCGAATGAGCACCTTACCTCCCTTTGCTTCCCGCATTGCTTTTGACAGCGATGCTGCGAAATTACTACCTATCCCCAATGTTACAATCCTATTATTCATATCCCATCCACCCCCGGATTAAAGCGCATAAGCTATTAACGCCTAAATGTGAGCAAACTTTGAACAAAATTGAATAAAAATCGACGTCTCACACACTGTTTATGATCAAGCTACATATTTTACTTTATTTTTAGCCCAGCTTATAGTCCAAGGAATTTAGTATGATGCGAAGACCATGAAATTCTCCTTTTAATGCGAATCACTTCGGTATATAAAAGGCAAATCGACATGATGTAATGGCAATTTAAAGTCCTTTTAATGTACATGAGCGGACGATTGAATGGGAAACGGTACTCGGAAAGTGTGAAATGCACCAGATCGGAGATTTAGCATCCTAACAGGTTTGCACAAAGGCACACATGATTTGTATGCGAGAATCAGAGCGCATCCCAGAAGGCTCAAAACTAAATTCAACTGCCAGAAAATTGGAATTTGCACATTAAGTAGGACTTTAGATAGTCACATTCCTTAGTACATCGAGATTTTGAAATCAATTACAATCTGATAAGTAGTCACCCTTCCTTCACTTCTGAAAACCCTCAGACATACGAATTAAGAAAACACAGAAGTGAGTGTGCTTGGAATACCTGTTCAAGGATACTCTCACGCTTTGATTACATGTCCAGATGTAGATTGGATAAAACAGTAGGAGAAAATTTTGAGGGACCATAAAAGGGAAATGCACTCAAAGTCCTATAAGTGATTATCTTAACAATAATTGAGTCGTAATCCTTCCTCTCAACGGACGTTAAAGAACAAAAAAATGGACGCGAATAAAGGGGAAATTCATAAACGAGGAGTGAAGCGACAATTGAGGGAATCAAAACGAATTGACAGACGATTCACAATTGGTTGTTAATCCAAAACAGTATCGCATAGCACCTGAGCAGAGATGAACATTAGAAATTCGATCAAGTAAAATAAATTAGGGACGGCGCAACATTTTATTGCTCTGAAGAAATCAAATTTGAATAGACAAAGAAAAATGACGTGGAAAAATCACGTAAATACAATGTCGACCGCTCTTCTTCCAAAGCGAAGGAATGCAATCTTATATCTTTGCGCACCACTCACTGAGGTAACATTAACTCATTAATACTCTGGGACGCAGAAGGCAGTGAGGGTGGTTCAATCGGGTAGAACTGATGCCTTGTCACCAGACTAGTCCATATATGTATGAGGAGTGTGATTTGGATGACAAGAAGCGGCAAGAGTGGTATTCCAATGAGTAATGAATATCCAGAGGCCATGTGACCGGCAACAATAGCCCAATAGACGATGGTTTGTAGGGCAAGAAATTGGTAATTCCTAGGTGGAAGATGAAAGACTACCGCCATGTTATGTGAACAGCGAAACTGTCGCAGGCACCCGAGGCAGTAAGTGTGCAATGTTCCAACTTTACGTGCACACATGCGCGTTCCTGCATGCATTCCATTCCCATTGCCCATGCTCATTGGTTCGCGCGTAGACGCCCAGCCAATGGCGGTGTACACGCGTAATCAAGTCATCTTGCAACTGGCCAATCGATCATCAGGCATGCGGAGTGTCGCAACGATGCAAGGCTGCTCAATTGTGAGACGGGTGAAAGGACGATAAAACAGCGAGTTGCGTCGGAATGATTCACTTAAACTTTGGGACAAGGGGAGAAAGGATACCTGCAAGCACAAGGGCATAGCGCCAATATGCTATGCACAAGACCGAGAAAAAAATAGCAAGCAAACGGAAGTAATACAATTTTAACACGGAACCAAGGTATTGATGGTCACCCGTTCATCCTTCATACTGAGAACCACAGTGAGTCACGTATAGGAATGACAAGTCTAGGTGGTAGCAAAACATCAAAATAAAAGTGCTTGGTGTATTACGATAACGGTGGGTGCACAAATGTATATGACAATATCTACACCCTGTAATTCTGGAACAAAGACGAACGATTAACGGAAGGCGATTGAAGGGTCAGGAACAATAAGTAATAGGTCACAAATGTTTGCGAGGACTTATTCGTGCACTAACCACAAAATTGTCAAAGGATTGAGATGGGATGAGTGGAAAGACAAAAGTAAGTGTTATAAGTAAACGACTCAAAGATACCCAAGACGTGTATTTTTAAAAAGAGGTTCCAGTGCTTTGACTCTCTAAAAGGCGGGGCTTGGAGTCAAACAAGCCTGTTCACGTGTGAAATGAGGTCAAATTGAATCTGGGCCACCTGAAAGGTGGTGGTCAAGATCCAGCGCTACCCGAAGCCTACAGGGCAATGCTGCTTAAGTGCTGCTTGAATGCAAACCTGGATACAAAAACGCCCGACCAAACTTTATTCTTGGTAAACCAAAGGAATATCAGACAATAATAAATTAC